CCTCCTCCCTCCTCCCCCCTCCCTCGTACTTCGACCCTCCCGCCCCCCGAGGCCCTTGTTTTTCCTTTTCTTTTGGGCTTCATGACTCATTTCGAGCAGAGTAGTGCGTCATCCTCCATCCTCCTACCTCCCACTTTCCTCCGTGCCGTCATCCTCCGTCCACCCTTCTCCTTCTGCCGTCCTCCCTCTTTCTTCCTTCCTCCGTCGCCACCATTCCGCAATCTTCCATTCGTCCTCCATTCCTCCTCCTCGCTCCCCCCTCACTTTTCTATTTTCTCGTTTTTTTTTTTTATAGTTGCCATTCTTATGGGACTTCGACATCCATTTTGCGCCTTTGTTATCATTACCATACATTTTGGACGTCGGCATCCATTGAAGTTTGAATGTGGACTTGATTTCCCCCCCCTTCGTATGTTGAAATGGCTGCTGGGTGTGTTTTCAAAAAAAAAAAAAAGAAAAAAAACCCCCCCCGTATGTTGAAATACCTGCTCCAATTTTCTGCGTCAAAGAGATAGGGGGTTAGACTAGAGAGGGGAGGAGTGGGTTTAGAGGGAGTGCTTTTTTTTGGGGGGGGGGAAGGGTGGGTGTTTGGGAGGTCTCACAGTTGAAGGGGCTGACTTGTTTTCGGTGTCGTGTTGTTCCGATGCAGATGCAGGTCGAAATGGCGGCAAAGCAGGACCAAAACCTGTAAAGAAAGAAATCAGGCAGTGCGCATCGGGTGCACTGTACTATACACGCTGCGGAGGTGCGCGCGCTCCAGCGCACATCGCACCGCACCTGTGCGCCACACCTGTCGTTTCCGTTTGATAGGATTCCTACACGCGATTGCATACCTTTTTCTCCATTTTCCCGTTCTTCCTCTGCAGATCATGGCGCCCATAGCTTTTGATCTCTGATACATCGCCTGTTATTGGACACGTTTTTCCATTTCGTCCTTAACAAACATCTCCGCTACCTTTTCCTTTGGTGTTGCCCTTCGCTTTCCATCTCAGTGGTCTTCAAGGCCTTCTTCATTGGTATAGTCCATGTCGATGTCAACTAGACACATCCCTCGCCTCCTTCGGTCTTCTATTGATCGTAATTCTTCTCGTTGGCTTGACCCGTAATTGTCACTTCCAGCGTGTACAGTGTGGGATTCTAGTACTCTTTGGCTCTTTGCCTCTTTGCCTGGCCTGTCGAGTGTGCAACGCACCCCCCTGCATTCTCTCTGCCTCTGTGTAGATAGCTGTTCTCAGCGGCCTCCCATTTGCTATTGGAACTTAGGCCCGCCAAAGTGGCGGGCAGTTACAGGAGTCCGGTAAAGACGGCGGGGAAGGATTCTGTCAGGATGTCGAGGGACTTCAGCAAAGAGAAAGGTGTCAACGTGCAAGTCTTGTTGCGGTGCAGGTAATTGCTCCCTGAATTCGGAATGAGAGACATACGTCACTTCACATCTCTGACTTGATGGGTTTGTGAGGTTTGCATTGTCATCCTAGTCCGGGCCATGTGCCATCTGCGCTGCTTGACAGAGAGCACGATGGCTTCAGGGCTGGGATGTGCTTCTTTCGACGTGCTTGTGTCGAACGAAAGAGGCATGTCCGTACATATGCAGATGTGAGGGAATGCGTGCAGTCGTGTCTATGTCTGAGCGTATTACCAGTTGCTGGTACCTGTGTGCGCGTGTGTGCATTGAGCGTATACTTGAGAGTGCGTGTGTGTGTGTGTCGAGTAGTGTGTCAACCTGCTGAAATCTACTGTGATCATATCCACGTTCTTGTCTGTGTGCGAACGGGCGAATAAGCAAGACTCGGGTGAGTGCGTGCGTGTGTGTGTTCGAGTGGCATACGCGATTAGCCGTGTTGTGCGTGTTATTGCGCTTTTTGGGCGTGGTCGGGTGACTTGAAGAATTCCATTGATTCAAAAAAGGCACGAACACGCAGACAAGGAAAGGGAGAAAAAGGTTGCGCAAACAGAAATGCAGCGCAACAACACACACACACACACACAGACACAGAGAGAGAGAGAGAGAGAGAGAGAGAGAGAGAGAGAGAGAGAGAGAGAGAGAGAGAGAGNAGAGAGAGAGAGAGAGAGAGAGAGAGAGAGAGAGAGAGAGAGAGAGAGAGAGAGAGAGAGAGAGAGAGAGAGAGAGAGAAGCGAGAGATGTAGGTTTGCTTCGCATTTTTTTCCGTTTGTGTTGGTCCGGGTGAGGTACTTGTCAGACTGAAGTTTAAAATCAAGGAGTTACTTTCGGATTTTCGCAGTGCGAGATTTCTGGACGACGTTTCACTTGTTCTCCAACTCCCTCTTTTTTCGGATTGCCATTGAGCTTCATATTTCAAGCTCTCATAAGAACAAGTTCTTGAATCATCGCGTTTGCTCTCCTTGGAACGCGCAGGTGTGTAGTTAGTTGCTAAGTTGAGACGTACCATCTTGTGTCTAGCGTTCTTGGTGCTGATGTAATGATATATTTTGATGGTTGGACGACCCTACCTTGCCTTCCGGACGATTGGGACGCGAAGTTTCCCACGCCGTGCGATGGATGATAATTCTTTTCCCTGTCCTTATCCAACGTGGAAGGATTATTGGTCTCCAGGGGAAGGAAATGTCTAGCTCTTTGATGTACATGATGATGAGCCGCAAAGAAGCGTGTGGACTGCCGGCTACTCCTCGACTCTCAGGACTCACTTTCTGATCTCGTTGCCGTCATGCTTCAGCATAGCCTACGCTTGTAAACGATTTTGTTGTGAAGCTAAAACTATTCCATTGGTTTGTTATGAAGCGAAAAATATTGTATTGGTTAGTGAATTCACAGTGTAATTATCTTTTTTTTAATTTCGTGCGTCTCTGCGTGCGATCAGGCCATGCAATGATGAAGAGCTTCGAACGAATGCCCCGCAAGTTGTACAATGTAGCGACCCTCGAAGGGAGGTTACTGTGTATCAGAACATCGCCGGGAAGCAAATTGATCGGACCTTCACTTTCGACAAGGTAAAGAAGTTCCGGACCCGTTTTTTCGTTCAAGTACTATTGTTGATTTCTTATCTTGTCTTGTATTGGAGTGCATATTTCACGATTATCTGAAGGTGAGAAGGGTTCTACGGAGGCATGGCGCGGAGAAGGGAGTCTGGGGGAGTGATGGTGCTCACAAACGGGGCTGGTCGGAGGGAGCCAGAATAGAAATAGGGGCCTGGCGTCTTTCTTAGCATCTAAAAAGAGGTTGGATTTCGTAATCTTAGTTGGCAGGATGGACTGTCTCATAAGTCGGAGGGGGGGGGGTCTGTATGGCTGCCAAATGCATCCCTCTTTCTGAACTTTTCGCTGAAACTGTAGATGGATCTAGATGGAGAGGGTAGAGGGATAGAGGGTATAGAGGGAGATGGGTGAACGAGAAGGAGAGGGCACATAGTGTTGTGACAGAAAGGTGGAAGAGAGACTGGTATGGATGGAGAGTGAGGAGAGGGGTTATGAGAAAATGTTTTAAGTTTAACAAGAGAAAGGAGTAGATAGGAAGGCAAGAATGGTAAACAATAGTAGGGGCAACAGTTCAGGTTGACATTGGGTGAGAGATGGACGGAAGGGGGCTGAGTGTGGTGTGCTGAGAGGGAGGGGGATGTGAAAGCTGCAGAGAGGGGGGAAGGCCAATGGAAGACGGAGAGATGGAGGCCAGGCGGAGTGAAGATGGTAGCAAGGGGAGGGCTCAGAGGGTTGTCAATGCGAGCAGAGAAAGGATTCTGAGAAGCGTTCAGAGAGCTACTGGAGAGAGACAGGAGACACAGGAGTGAGAGGTCCGAGAAGGGATGGATACAGGGGAGAGACAGGAAACGAACAAGTCGTTGGTAAGAAAACAGGGGGGAAGATGTGACGGTGGGCTAAACGGGGAAGGGAAGAGATATGGTAAGTGGGGAATGCAGAAAAAGACCGGAATATGAGGTCGGGAAAGTGGGAAGTCAATGGGAGGGCTCGAGACTGGAGGGAGGGGAAACTTTAACGGTTCTAGTGCGACGGAAGTGGGTATAGGGTGTTTATGGGAGCGATGGGTTGCGGCATGGATCAGGGAAAGTTGACGGATACAGGAGAGAGGGGAAGGTGGCGAGAGGAATTGAAGCGGAGGGGGGCACGGGGGCAACAGAATCGTGGGAAAGACGGGGCGGAGAGGGAAGCGGAGTGGAGCTAACTGGTGAGGTGTAGCGTGGGAGGAGGTCAGGGCGAGGGAGACAGGAGGGGTGTTAGTGGGAAATAAAGGAATGCGAATAGAAATAACAGATAATTAAGGGAGACTAAGTATCCGTAATGGTATGCATTAGAAGTCTGGTAGTCATTTGGACCATAAGCAACACAGGTTATGAAGACACGAAGTGGAATATTGAACTTGCTGATTGGTTGGGCCAGAGGTGATTTAGTCTTGCAACTGTTTTTTTTTCAGGTTTTTGGGCCGAACTCTAAGCAACAAGACGTATATGATCAAGCTGTTGTGCCGATCGTGAATGAAGTTCTGGAGGGATTCAACTGCACGATCTTTGCATATGGGCAAACTGGAACCGGGAAAACGTACACCATGGAGGGAGGCGGTCGCAGACCTAAGGTAAGTGCAATTTTTGTCCTTAATTCGGCGCTTTTCAAACACGAGGGACACAACAACAGATCCATATGGATATGTGGAGAGAGGCATAAATGCACACCGACAATTTGCGAGTGTGTGTGTGTATTTGTGTGCGTGTGTGTGTGTGTGTATGTGTGTGCGTGCGTGCGTGCGTGCGTGCGTGCGTGCGTGTGTGTGTGTGTGTGTGTGTGTGTGTGTGTGAGAGAGAGAGAGAGAGAGAGAGAGAGAGAGAGAGAGAGAGAGAGAGAGAGAGAGAGAGAGAGAGAGGTTCCGATGCAGGTGATAACAAAATGTGTGTTATAACCTTCTCTTCCAGGTGGACACACTACAGGTTTAGTGGGAGTGTGCTTTAAAAGGCTCTTCGTTCCGTCTGTTCCTCTTAGGACGAGTTCCCTTGATCTCTATAAAGTCAGACTGAGCCCTAGTGTCCCGTGCGCACGTCAGGCCGTTGATTTGCTGCTGCCCAGATGTGTGCTCTTTGTTACTGTATCAGGGAACCTTGATTGTTGGGGCGGCGGAACCTCGATCTGTCTGTTGCGTCTAGAGATCCAACCCTCGTCTTGTTCCCCAATGTGAACATGTGTGCGGGCCATGTAGAATCATCTCTTATCCTGGTCCAATGTCACTATGGATCCTAACCTCGACCTGTTTGTGCGTCTAGAGAACAACCTTATTCGGTCCAGTGTCAGTATGGATATCTTGGGCCACTGAACATAGCGCCTTAGCATCTCTTATTCGGTCCAGTGTCAGTATGGATATCATCTCCAATGTGAAAACATGTGTAAGGGCGATGTATAATCATCTCTTATTCGGTCCAGTGTCAGTATGGATATCTTGCGCCACTGAACATAGCGCCTTAGCATCATGAATGGATACAAACCCTCCTCCGATCCATATACGGTCATGATTATGCGGATTGATGTAGTGGACGAAGGCGAGCTTGCCGTGGTTGAGTATGGGGGGATTGTCTCCCAAGGTCATCGTTTGACGGCTGGATCTGATTTCTGAATCCAGTCCAATGATTCTATGACAAACGTTACACTTTGCCTGGTTCGATTCGGTGCTTGATTTCGATGGAATTCGGATGTGACGGAGGATCTTATGATTCGTCTTTTTTCGTGATGGGAGCGAGGGTCACGGCTCTGCAGCCTTGTAGGTGTGGTGGGGAATGCCTTGCCTTCGCAGTATTGGAAGGTTGTTGAACGGTGGAAAAAAAAAAAAAAAAGAACGGTGTAGGTTCGAGAATATTCTCCGGTCGCTTGTGTGGAAGATCAGGGCATCGCGATGGGGATCTGGCTGGGTGCATGCATGTATGTCTGTACGTGCTTGTGAAGATGAATTGCAGCGATGACTTTTACGTTTTTAAGGGCTAGGGGGGAAATGGTCTGCCTCGTAGTTTCATGGGTAGGTGCCGTTTATGTTATGTTTTTAAGGGCTATTGGGAAAATGGTCTGCCTCGTGGCTTCATGGGTAGGTGCCCTTCATGTATCTGGTTTTCATTTTTGTTGAACTCTGAGCATTTCTGTTCGTCGCAGGTCTAAATCGCCGGTACAGTGCATGGGCAGAAACAACCCGTAGCCGCGGGATACCCCTGTGGCCGGCGTTCTGAGGTGCAGAAATCAGAAGTTATTGAGTTTGTTGTTGTGATCTGCCATTTTTCTGTCCACTCTCTCTTAGCCTCGTATTGGTCTCCTGAGCTAGCTATTGACGGGGCGGAACAGTATTGAGTCCGAGGTTGCCCTCCCGATTAACTGTCAACTGAGAGCTGTGAAAATCCTTATTTTGGGGCATGGTTTTCAGTTTTTCAGCTGAACCGAGTTACTGTTAGGTGCGTCTCAGAGAACGCTACCGTGAGTTTGCCCTTAGTAGTCTCTCGTTCTTTCGGAGGCAACCCATGTTGATAGCGGAAACGTCGGACAAATACCTTGGTAGTGTACTGAGCTTACTGAGCTCTTCTTGTACGGGCCGCAATGGTTGTACTCCCGGTCGCCAGCCTCGGATCCTGACGACTCCTCTAGTCTTCCACTCGACTTGTGGTTCCTGTGGGACAGTAGCTGTTTCGATTGGCATCGAGGAGCCTCGCTCCAGCACTCGCCAAACTGAGGGCATACTCACACGGGGACCTATAATCCCAAAATCCCCCCCAAAAGGGGAAAAAGCTGGTCACACGGATCTACCAAATTCGCAAATGTATTATTCCTGTGCCCATTTGTCAGCGGCCTGGGAAGCCGCGGGGCAAGGGATTTTGCGGTCACCTCTGGAGGTGACCGCAAATGCCCTTTTTTTTTTGCATTTTCTTCAAAAATTGGCAAAAATTCGTTCACAAAAGTTCTTGCACAATTTGTGGATGGCGCCGTGTGACCAGCCAAGTACCAAATCCCCATTTCTCCAGACGGCCGCGACCTTGTCCCATCTGAAAAGGTACAGCAGTGTGACGTGAACCATGCCCAAAACCTCAAATCGGCCCTTCCCAAATCCGCATATTTTGCGGATTTGGGGTCGCCGTGTGAGTATGCCCTGAAAAAGACGAACACAACGGCGTTGCGAACTTGTGAGTGAATCTTTTCACTTTTTAGCCGAAGATGCGCGCAAGCCATTTAAAACTTTTGGATGGCAGTGCGGGTTGGCCCTCTGCCACAGCCCATTGCTATATATGTGCGTGCTTATGCACAATCAGGGATATCGTGAGTAATAGCCTCCCTTTCCCACGACCAGGGCTGTCGTGGAAGTCAATCTGTAGATCAACGGACAGCAAAATAACTTGTCGGCTCCATTGCCTTTCGTCCTGCGGATTCCGCGTGTAGGTCATTTGGTAATCCTGCCGTCTAATAATGAATGTATGAAAGCTGTCTTTCCGAATGTATGAAAGCTGTCTTTCCAGTGCGCTGTACAGCGCATTGTATTTGGGGGAAGGCGGAAGTGATTGGGAGGTCCATCTCACGGGTGGCAAGCAGCTTTACCTCATCCACAACATTTGGCTTCGTATGGAAATAATCATCACGAATGCGTTTCACTGTTTGAACGGAAAGCTACAAGCGCCAATTCTTGCATTTGGCCAAGTGGCGATTGTTTCCGAGTGTATCTTTCAAGTTTTAGTGGGAAGATGCAATCAAGACTTCTCATATTCGGCGGGCAGGCAACAAAGCGAGCCGTGTGTCAGTTTGCTTGGTGGCCAACTATCAAGGCCACCATGTCAAATACGTGTGTTTGTGTGCTATCGGTGCCCAATGCCCACCAGTATCCAGCCGTGGGTGGCGTTTTGGAGGTTCCTAGCCTCTCTATCACCACCCGGATATAGGCATCACAAAGATGTTTCAGCAAAAAAACAAACGATGTCTCCGAGTGTATCTTTCAAGTTTTCAGAAAAAAATAAACGATGTCTCCGAGTGTATCTTTCAAGTTTTAGTGGGAAGATGCAATCAAGACTTCTCATATTCGGCGGGCAACAAAGCGAGCCGTCTGTCACTTGACTTGGCGGCCAACTTTCAAGCGTATGTCAATTAAGTGTGTTTGTCGGCTATCGTTGCCCAATGCCCACCAGTATTCAGCCGTGGGTGGCGTTTTGGAGGTTCCTAGCCTCTCTATTACCACCGGGATATAGGCATCACAAAGATGTTTCAGCAAAAAAAACAAACGATCCCTAACCGGTTCTCTGCTGCTTGCTCTTTACGAGATGAGTTTGCAAGTAGGACAAGGTATGCTGTAATAATTAACTCTCATCACATTCTTCAACTAGAGAGGCGGTCTCGGTCTAACTGGGACATTTGCCATTTGCAATGTGTGCCCTGAACACATGGCATATTTCTTGCGCACAGCAAGCTAAACTCCGGAGGGAAACGTGTCCCCCGTTCATTCCGACTGCTTGACCATTGCAGGATTCTGTTTTGGGCCCTCTGTAACTCTGGAGAAGGCAAAGAAAGAGGAGCGTCCTGTGAAGTTGGGTCTCGCGGCCGACATCCCCTGAAATAGTAGCAAAACTTGGGAGTCGCTATGTTTCTTCATCCGTTCAAGGGAGAAGTCAGAGAATGCCACTCAGTCTTGGGCCTCGTCTTCGAACTGCCTTCCAAAAGCGGGCTGAATTTTGCAGAATGCAGTCAGCAAAGGAAAGGATTGATGCGGCCTTACGTCAAAGGTATACATATTAGACTCTGAGTTCGTGATATTAGTGAATATAAGTTGAAGTTTCCTGACACGATGCAAATTAACTACCTTGCCCAGAATGCAAAACTATATGCTATAACCCAAAGCTGGATAATGGCCCCACTCTCCCGGGATGATTGAGAGGTTCCCCGTCTTCAAGTTCCTGTCGTGAAGGTATGATCTTGTTGTGTTGAAAGTAGCCGGATCTGATGGGGCGGCACCTGGCTGCCCCACATGCTGTTCTGAGCCTCCGTTTATATCATGGCTCCTTCCTGCTTGTATATCGATTTAAGAGACGACAGGAACGGAGAGGGTTGAAGGTGCGGCGTTGAGATCCATTTATATATCTTGGATCCAGAACAGTGGGAAGGAGGACATGGAAGACAGCATCCATCCGCTCTTCTGACCATTCCATTGCAGGGTTGTAAGAAGATAAAGCCGAACAGGAGTGGAGAGCGTATTAAAAAAAAAACTGCAGAGGGACAAGAGGCGTTATGGATGATTCAAAACACAAGGGTATAAGGTTTTTCACTTGTTTTGAATTACAAGAGGCGTTATGGATGATTGAAACACAACGGTGTAAGATCTATCACTTGTTTTGAATAAGCTACACATCACGGAAGGAAAGTCGTTAGCATTGCTTCGTTTTATTTATCGATGCAGGATTGTAAGAAGGTAAAGCCAAACAAGAACGGAGAGGGACGACAAAAAGATTAATGAAAAACACACTGGAGAGGGACGAGAGGCATTATGAATTATTCAAATGCAAAGGTATAAGATCTATCACTTGTTTTGAATCGCATCGTCGGTGGAGTATAAGATCAAACGCAACGGTATAAGTC